GGTGTAGTCCTTCCTCAATAGCGCCGCAACTGATTGTGCTATTTAGCTCCAACTAACTATCTTTTGTTCGAATGATTATGTTCTATGTTTCACGGGTAATAAAGAAAGAAAATTAATGCAAGAATAAAATTCAAATGATAAAAGTACTAACTAACCTGGAGGAGTATAGAGAGGGTGGTTCATGTAGTAGGAGACGTATGCACCAAATCCCGAATAGTAAGACACGTTCTTGAACAAGTTCCTGATGGGCATTGTGGCATGTGAAAACCGATGAATAAACAAAGTTTCAAGCAAACGTTTTGCATAATGGAATGTCCAGCATGCAGCTGCGATACTAGAATATTAAAAAAAAAAAAACGCACATTTGAATGCATCAATACAGATGGCACCAGACTTGCAATGATTAATATATTAAAACAAGTTTATTTTGTTCATGTGACCTTTGCTGTTGAATAGGGGAACACACCGTGGGTGCAGACCTGTCAAGGGTCTCACACTGGCTTGCTTGAGATTTCTTCTGAATTTGCTTGAGATTGGGCATTTTCTTGAAATTCGTGCATGAGGTCACAAACCTCCAGGAAAATACACCTTTACAGTAAATCCAAGTAAAGAGTAAATACACTAATACAAAGTGCCACTTTGATATCCCATTTAGTCTTCTTCAGTTTTGGCTGAGGCGGCGTCGAACACTGTGGCGATTGCACCGATAGTCGTGTTTGTACACGTTGTATGCTTGTTTTGAGAAAATAGCACATTTAAAAAATCATAATTTGAAAAATTTCTTGAATGCGTGAGAACATATAGGCTGCGCTTGAGGCGTGAGGTCGAATTTAAATGCGCGAGACTCCCACAAGATGTGTGGGACTTGACAGGTCTGTGAGTGATGAACTGCAAACTTGGCTAAGGACATAATTTCTTTTTGATAATCAATCAACAAAGTTGAAGGGACCTAATCCCCCACCCCTCCCATGGTGGGGTTAAGATTGGCGATGCTTCAAACCATCTGAAAATGTTAACAGCTTTCTTGGTAATGAAAAATTCTGGATACACTCCTGAGTTGTCTGGGTATTGAATACCACATGACAGGTTGGTAGGCCAAGCACGTGGCACAACAGTAATGCTTTGGGCCTCAAATTGGGAGGTCAACAGTTCAAATCTGATGCTCCACAATTGTTTCTTTGTCTTCTCTCTACACAACAGCCAAAGTAGGCGGTCACAACTGAGGTTCAAATAAAAATGCCAAATCTTTTTTTAATTTAATTTTGCATTATTTTTGTATAATTTTGTTTCCATATAATGACATAAGTGGAAATAAGGAATCCTTTTCTTATATTTTTTTAGATTATCCTATAGTACGTATCTTCGTTTCTGTTTAGTTTTCATTGTTATCATTAGTTTTGACCAGAGTAATTACATGACATGTTTTTCTTGGCATTACAGTAGGTGCTATATGTATAACTTACTGTATAAGATCTGACAAATTACAGGTGCGGAAGCAATGGGATGGGGGGGGGGGTCCCAGATGGTGCGATCACACCCCCTAAATTGTATCAAGAAAAATATTGTATATTGTATTGTTGAAATATTATTTTTATCATTATGAATATAGTACTGTTTAAATTCTTAAAGTACGAGTGCAATTTCCGACACTTTGAGGTCCATCTCAAAATTGGTGTAGATTCTCACGCACCCTCTTACTGCCAATTCCTGCATCCACCCCAGAATACATCAAGTAAGAGATTAACTTATTTTTGCAAAACTCAGTCTCAGGATTAAAAAATCGTCTAAAAACCAGCTAACTTGATGGCTCTGACGCAAATCAACTTGGAGGCTTTATGATTAATTATCCAAATTTAAATAATTAATTATTTTAGCATAATTTTAATTCAAAATAGCAACTTACTGGACAGCTTTATGCATAGGTTGGTTCACTGCTTCCGTGCCATAGATGAAAGCCGGTCTAAGATAAAAAAACAAGTACGCAAGCAACGGTCCTGTATACTCACACAAGAACACCTGAATAAGTATAACAAATGCACACAATTACTATTTATTTTATTATTACAGTATATATTTACTTTATTTCAATTTATTATTAAGGCACATTGTCAGTGGCAAAAATTTACAACTGTTTTGAAAACTCATAGGTGACAATCAAACACCTACACATTGTGCGACGACACGACGCTAGAACGGAATCACTCATGCATGACCGTCCTACCTGGCGTCCTACTTTCTCTGCATACGTAGATTTCATAACTCACAAGTGCTCAAATAAATTTGGGTTTCCAGGGGCGAATCCAGAG